AAGGATCCATGTACCCAAATAGTAGAACATTGGCCTTAATGTAGTCCCTATATAGGTACTTTAGGCCGCATGTATATGCTATACATGGACCCTTATAGGGTAACTTGTGGACAGTTCCCTCTGCTAAAGGGGGGATGCGCGAAACTATGAAGGCTTCGATTGTCGGGAAGGTCTGCTTGTTTGATTCTGGCAAAGACTCATGGCGCAGGATGACTACTATCCGGCTATCGATGAACCCTAAGCCCTAAACCCAAAGCTGCTGAGGAGGAGTCCAAAAGACGAGCTTTTAAGCGAGCAGGATCACCACCTGGGACTCTATCTGCCGGAAACATGGTGTAGCGTCCCCAGTTGGCATGCAGACGGCTGCATGTACCGGGGGGTCTTGCTAGCATACTGACCGCTGCGCAAGGCGCAAGGTGATGGCTCGAGCTGGGGGTTGCCGACCCGGTAGGGGTCTGCAATTGAGTACCTCACTGACCTTCTGTGACCACTAAAGTCCGGGTGCCTATTTCTAAACAACATCGTTGTTGATAAAATCGCGGGTTTCAATGCTAATCCTGCCATGACCACTAAAGTCCAAGAAAATATGGGCCAGCACATGGCCAGCATAAGCTGGTCATAGGGCGGCCCCAACTGGCGTAACCGGAAGGGGGTAACCAGCACATGTATATTGACAGAAGCTTACATGAAACCCTAAACCTACATTATGTTACATGCCCGCATATACTAGACGGCTTGTCATGTCATCCAACCCACCTTAAGTTCATATGTTCAACCCTGATTCAGGACTAAGATTTCAAGTCAAAGCCACCTGAAACCCTGAACCCTAGGCCCTAAACCTCGCTTGGAGGCCCTTTTGACTTAGTAAGTCTACTTAGTATCCCCCAGGAGCCCTATTATAATCCCCATAACCCACCTTACTAACCCTACTTACTAAGTCAAAAAGCCCTAAACCTCGGACAAAGTGGTGGCATCACACGTAAAAGCGGTAAGCTGCCTAAACCCCCCGCAAAAACGACCTGGAGCCGCAACCTTCGTAAAGCCGGAATAGAGCCCTCATAGTAATTTACAGTATCATTCCGTAGGGTTCTTTGATGTGGCTTTACTATACCCAAAGGGTCCAAAGTACCTATATAGTAGAATGTAGGGTTTCTATACTAGGAATGGTTGCTATGATTTGGGAAACTATCCCCCATAACAGTACCTAGGACCCTTTGGGATACTATATCCCAAAACCATCCCAACACCCCACTCTGATTGTTAATTAAGTTGTAGTAACCTTTTGGAACCCTTCGAAGGAACCCTGTTAAAGGAACGTTATTCGCGTTACTAAGGCCCACATATTCAGGGTTTAGGGGTGAGGGTTTAGGGTTTAGGGTTTAGGGCCGCAAACCATAGGTGCGGAGACTCCGAACTTCTCTGAGGCTAGAAGTATGGGCCCCTAATATGGACCCTTAGGCCTTTCTAGGGGCCCTTCAGGGTACATAGAGGGTAATTCAAGAGTGAGTAATTAGGTGTATAAGGATCCCGGGGTTTAAGGGCCCATACTAGGGGCCCATGTTTTCCCCTAAACCCTAAACCCTAAACCCTAAACCCCACACTAGGGGCCATGCTTTCAACCTTCGAACTTCAAACCCCCAGACCTTCCAAGCTCCCTAAAAGCAGGAACATACCTGAGATTATCGTAGGATCCCTAGATGCGATGTAAGGTCTATAGCCCTGAATTCCCTTCAGACCCCTTTTAAGGAACTGTTAAAGGTGGTATACTAGGAACCCTGAAAGGTGGTATATGTTCTTAATCCCTAAGGGTCCATGTACCCAACTAGTAGAACATTGGACCCAAAGTACCCATATAGGGACTACATTAAGGCCAATGTTCTACTATTTGGGCACATGGACCCTTAGTGAATGCAGGGATTTTGGAAGGTGTGGGCCAAACCCTAAACCCTAAACCCTAAACCCTAAACCCTAAACCCTAAACCCTAAACCCTAAACCCTAAACCCTAAACCCTAAACCCTAACCAGAGCCTGAACCCTCAGGTTTCCGGGATTCAGGGATTCGCGGATTCAATTCATTGGGGGGTCCAGGAACTTTGGGGTTTAGGGGTTTTGGGGTCCAGGAATTTTGGGTTTAGGGGTTTTTGGGTTTGGGAGTTTAGGGGCTTTGAGGTTTAGGAGTTTATGAGTTTAGGGGTTTCGGGGTTTAGGGGCTTTGAGGTTTAGGAGTTTATGAGTTTAGGGGTTTAGGGGTTTGGGGGTCTAGGGGTGTAAGGGTGTAGGGGTTTAGGAGTTTAGGAGCTTAGGGGTTTAGGAGTCTAGGAGTTTAGGTGTTTAGGGGTTTGGCGGTTTAGGGGTTTAGGAGTCTAGGAGTTTAGGTGTTTAGGGGTTTTGGGGTCTAGGGCCTAGGGGCTTCGGAGAATCCCGAAACCCTGTTTCTGTGCTGCCAAAAAAAGCAGCGCTTGTAGTCCCTAAGTATTCGAGCTTCCCTCCCCCAAGGTACTTGGCGACGAAGGACGCTGTCGTAGCCAAGCGCAAGCGCGTTTCTGGGACTTTAATTTTCAGGGCCCTCCTCAAACCCCAAATCCCAGATCCAGGCTTACACCGGCGAGCGGCCTGGGCGTTTGTAACACCAGTGAGCTACCCTAGGGTTTAGGGTTTAGGGTTTAGGGCGTAGGGTTTAGGGTTTTGGGTTAGTTTCTACCAACCCTGAATGAAAGCCTTCAGCCCCCACTAGAAGGCTCAAACTAGGCCTTCGTGCTTCCCTGAACCCTAAACCCTAAACCCTAAACCCTAAACCTACATATGAGGCCGCCGAGCCTGTAAACCTCGTCATTTCTCGACCGGACCGTGGCCGGAGAAGCGCTACCATCTAGGACATTTTCAGGTGGGTTAGGGGGTTAGGGTTTAGGATTTAGGAGGTCTATATACCGTATAGAAGCCTTATAGAAGCCCTACATACCCTAAACTCCCCACCTGTAGTTTCCTTTACTACAAGACCCTCACAGTGTCCTTCTCCTTCTGTTCTCAATCGGTACCTGCAGTCTCCGGCTACCTTCTAAGATCCTTATGATATAAACTGTTAAACCGTAAACCTAAAGCCTATAAAAGGAACTACAATGGACCCTAAACCCTAAGCCCTAAACCCAAAACCTCCGAGGTCGCACCGCCTTCTCCCCTGGATCGCGGCTGGTACGTCGACGGCTTGGTGACGGCCGTGCAGCGCTTTGAGAATAGCAGCCGGGCTCTTAGCCTGAAACTTAAACTTGAACCCAAGTAATTAATAGTAACCTACCGGTTTAGGGTTCAGGGTTCAGGGTTTAGGGTTTAGGGCTCTAGGGTTTAGGGTTTGGGGTTTAGGGCTTAGGGTTTGGGGTTATCATACTAAGAGGAGCACCAAAAAGGTAGGTTTTATCGGGTTTAGGTGTGGCTTTTGATCTAGTGTGTAGGGTGTAGGGTTCAAGATCGAGGGTATAGGTTTTGGGGTTTTGGATTTTGAGGGCTTGGGGTTTTGAGTCTAGGATGTGCGACTACTAGCACTCTTGGTATATTCGCCGCTGACTCAATGATTCCAAGTTTTGCTACTGATGGGCGAGACACACATACAAATACACATCTGCACACAGATATGGAAGTGGACAAGTAGCTAAGCAATCAAGCATTTACACCACAAGCTCTACCCACCTATCTACCTCTCCATCTATCTTACATGGTTGGTGATGCCATGCATAGATGTACATCTTTACGCTCTTATGTGTTTACAGATGTGTATGTACGTGCCGGCCAGTTGCCAAAATAGCAGTGTGTATGGACCCTCTGACTTAAGGTCTATTCCATTCCTTATCATGTGTATTGCAGGATGGTTACCCTTAGCAGTGCCCTCCCGAGCATCACAATTTAGGGGGTGTTTCTGATACCCGTCAAAAACCCCTAATGAAACCCGAAATCCTGTATACGAAGCCCAAATACCCGCAACCCCGAACTCTAAGCTTAAACCCGAAGCCTTAGACCCTCTGAAGCCAAGCCCCGAACCTTCACCCTGAAGCCAACACGTTAGTTCCCCGCCCTACACCCGCCATGGTACATTACTTCATTCGGAGCCACCGGCTATGATATTCTAGGACATTTTCAGGTGGGTAGTTACCCTTATAGGAGCCTTATAGAGGGTCTGTATACCTTACAGAAGCCTTATAGAAGCCCTATATAGCCTAAACTCCCCACCTGTAGTTTCCTTTAATTAATAATCTGTGACACGTAATTACGCTGTTGGGGATGTCAAGTCCGACTCATAAACGAAGCCTTGCCCTAAGGCTCAAAATAGCCCAAAAACCTTACATGGTATGGTCTTTCGGCCCAAAACCCTTAACATATGAGTCCTTAGAGCCTTAGGGTTGTAGACTGCTGCAGAATATGAAGGACTCGCGTCAATGTGGATCGTGTAACACAATGGGTATGTAAGGCAACAAGGAACATACAAAACAACACATGTCCCACACCTGGCGATTGGTGGAATTTGCTCATGGAGCTGTCATTATACGGACACACATTGCACGGTCTGTCTATGTCGCGCACGTGCGCTTTTCTGCCACCTATGCGGCGCCAAGCAGCCGGCGCTTCATGTAGAGCCCTTATAGGGGAGCACAAGGCGCCAGAGCAGGTGAGTGTGGGCGCTCTGACGGGCGCCGCATCTCATTGTGGCGGCAAAGCTGCTCAAGTACCGTGGCCCGCACAGCCGGCATTTGCAGCGCGGAGACATGTTATGCAAAGCATGCCGGTCTAACTTGTGCACTCGAAGCACCGGGATGCGGGCCTCCGCGAGTCGTGAGCAACGAGACTCAGGCAAAGCAGGCCGCCCGATTCAACCATTCGATCGAGTTCCCTTCTGATGCGAAGATGAACCTCGTGAATCCTGGCCGTGTCTCGATGTGCCGGACAGTGCGGGGCACACAGGTTTCAATCGAGCATCGATGTATGTCGTTTAGATATTGGTGACGTACGTCCCATGGCTAGGGCCACCCTGAACCCTAAACCCTAAACCCGGCTAGGGTTTTCTCTGCGAAGTTCTAACTTTTGGATGTTGCTGCATGGCTTTCGCTCTTGCTCACAGTAGTGCATCTCTCCGATACTTGGGAGATTGTGGGAGCCCTAAGCCCTATAAACCCTAAACCCTAAACCCCTAAACCCTAAACCCTAAACCCTAAACCCCTATAAACCCTAAACCCTAAACCCTTCTGAGGACCAGGGTGGGCCGCTGCGCCCGACGGATCTCCGAGGGTGCGCTAGAGAGACGGGGCTTTAGACTTACAATCTAAGGTTATGGGTTTAGGGCTTTAGGGTTTAGGGCTCTAGGATTTAGGGTTTAGGGTTTAGGGTTTAGGGTTTAGGGTTTAGGGTTATAGGAGTATGAGCCCCTAATATGGACCCTTAGGCCTTATATAAGGTAGATAGTAGGTGTATAAGGATCCCAAGGTTAAGGGCCCATACTAGGGGCCCATGGTTTCAACCTTAGATACAACGTTAAGGATGTTGCCTGAGGCACGAAGCGCATCAACCAGAACGGCGTGTTCGAGATGTTGGGCTTGGGCGGCTTTTTCTTCGGCTGCCAAGTCCAATCAGATCTGCCTTAAGGATTTTGAAAGGGTTTTGGGCTCCTTGCGAGTATACTCATGATAAGGAACTCTGGGGAAGAATATTGGTAATTACACACGCTTCTATCTATCTATCTATATATATATATATAGAAGATCCAGGAGCCCATATCGGGTCTGGAGAACCCTGAAACCTAAACCCCCAACCCTAAAACCCTAAACCCTAAAACCCTAAAACCCTAAACCCTAAACACTAAATTCCTAAACCCTAAAACCCTGAACCCTAGAACCCTAAAGCCCTAATAGAGCTTGGGAACGATCCGGCATGTTTGGAGGTCGGAAGGTTGCAACAGCAGCTTGATTTCTGTCGCTGTTGCACGACCTGCTTACTTGGAGGATCATGGGACT